TTTGCAACAGAGCTGCACACAGGGTGAGAGGTTTGCAACAGAGCTGCACATTGATCGAGTGGTTTGCAACAGAGCTGCACACTGATCAAGTGGTTTGAAACAGAGCTGCACACTGATTTAGTGGTTTGCAACAGAGTTGCACTCTGATTTAGTGGTTTGCAACAGAGCTGCACACTGATCTAGTGGTTTGAAACAGAGCTGCACACTGATCAAGTGGTTTGAAACAGAGCTGCACACTGATCTAGTGGTTTGCAACAGAGCTGCACACTGATCTAGTGGTTTGAAACAGAGCTGCACACTGATCTAGTGGTTTGCAACAGAGCTGCACACTGATTTAGTGGTTTGCAACAGAGCTGCACACTGATCTAGTGGTTTGCAACAGAGCTGCAATGTTTAATATATTTTATACTTTTTGTTTTTTTAGACCACCAAGTCGGAAAAAGATTATTAGTATTCCCTATCACACTGGATCATTGGTATCAGAAATAAGGTAAATAACAACAAGCAAACAAACAACATTAATTTTATGAGAGACTATCTTTGAAATTTAATCATGTTTAACTCTTGTGCTGCATATTGATCAGTGATTTATTTTATCAAAAACCCAAATTTATTATTAATAATGGTCATGTTATTTCCAGTGCCATGAGATTGGCATACTTACAGAGTGGTGGCAATGATCCTGTCATACTGGCTCAGATGCATGATATGCAAGCAGAGGCACAAATGTTGGAAGACATGTCAAAGAAAAAGCCACCAAAAAAAAAGCCAAAAGGTAATTAATTGATTGACATATTTGTTGTCTCCTGGGTGCTGTATACATGTCAGATCCATTGATTGGTTGAAATGCTGTCACATGATGCAGAGACATAATATTTGCCATTCTTGAAAACATCACTGGAATAAAAAATCAAAATGACCTTGGTTCTCAAACTGGTACACTGAATGGCTTAAATGGCACATAATATCAGGTATGTACGATCTAGAAATAGTGCCGTATGCGAGTACCAAGTTGCGAGTCGCAAGTAGCAAAATATGCCATATGCTAGTGGTAAAAACGGCATATGCGAGTGGAAAAATGTATCGTTTGCTAGTAGCAAAAAAGCCCTATGCCAGGGGTAATACAAAGGCTTGTAACGTTTGCTTATAATATAACAACGTACGTACGTTCAATTGTGTTTTATCACAGTAAAATCAAATATTTACCATGGTTATGAAATGATGTGTACATGGTTGGTTAAGATGAAGTTAAATGAAGACAATGGCAGGTTTCTAAAGTAGTCACACCTTGGAGAGGTGTTAAATTTGCCACGACCCAAGTGTTAACTAGCACACAATTCCATGATACATAGTATAGTATAGTATAGTATAGTATATTTTATTTGACACTAAATAATATATTTTGTTACATTATCTGTGGTCAAAAGACATTAAATATATTAAAACACAAGTACACACACGAGACAAAGAAAATACATAAATAACTAAAGTCTAAGTAAAATAAATATATAATATATAATAAAGAAATAAAGTGCATGTTGAGTGATAAGACCGCATGTTTACGAGACGTCACTCACA